GCAGGAGTCTAGCCATCTTGTCATTGGCACACCTTCGCCTTCGACAATGCAAGGAGATGATGAAACCGATAATAGTGTGTGTGTGTGTGCGTGTGTCGCCTGCGCCTGATCTCGCACTCCCTCCCCCCGGCCTTCATGACTCTGCCTTCACACCGAACACGGGTGAGTGAGGGAGGAGAGAGAGAGTGCGATAGATGCAGCGCGAGTCGTCTATCACTTAAAACTAATTCACGCGCAAGTCACCGTCTTTACTCACCCTGCTGTGGAGAGTACGCGGTGAATCACGTCGGGGATCAGCGGCTGGCCTGCTAATTTCAAACACGCGGGGGTGCGTATGCTTGTTATCAGCGGAGGTTGGGTCGGCATGCGATCCCCACCTAGAGTCGGCCAGAGAGGACAGGCTGACTGCGCCAAGGTCTTCTGACAACAAAACACTGGATTAGCTAACTGTCCCAGCTGTTACTAGCAGCAGTTGGCATAGGCCTTTAGAGTAGTTTTACGGGTAAGCAATCGGAAGGGCTTCTTTGGCGTCGATTTCATGGCTCCTGTCACTTAGATGCGTGCACATAAAACTTAAAATCGTTGGAATTTAACCTTTATGCGTAAACCTTTAACCTTTAACTTTTGCCTAGCCAGGCATGTAGCTGTCCACTTACCCTCTTCTACAAGCACCCTTTTATAAGACTGAGAACACGGCCCGTATTTTAATAATTTTGGGAAAAATTGCACTGGGCTTCATCTCCTACAATCAAGAATCTTTTAAACCATGTTAGTAAAGGTAGCGTGGTAGGGTTAAGTGCCTTCTCTTGTGGGCCGGGCCAAATGCAGGCAAAGAGAATGCAGGAAGAAACCTGAATCTCGTAAATTTTAGCAACCTCGATTTCGAGAATGCAAACTTATATCTATCAGTGGGATTTTTAGTTGATAAAACTGAAATCCACGATATCCCCAGGCAGTTACTTATTTACAACTATTCTATGCATGTACATGCTTGCAGGGCATCCTGCTGCGAGATCTTATTTCCTAGGCTCAATGTTGCACTTTTTGTATCGACTGAAACTTTACGATTTTTAATTTTGTGCATATGACCAGCCTCACCGTTTGCTTATATAATCTAAAAAACAACTGCTTCCCCGTTTTACTCCCACGCATTGGGCATCTAGGTTTCCAAGATGAAGAAGAAAAAGAAAAAGAAGAAGGAGGCCAAAAGCAAAAGTGCTCCACCCGGTGAAGGCGATGAGGAAGCAGAAGAGGATGAAGAGGGCGAATTTCACGGAGTCATTGGCGTCACGCCGAAAATCACAACTGCTGCTGGTGGCGCCGGTGCTAGTGCCGGTGGTGCCGGTGCTGGTGGTGCCGGTGCTGATGGTGCCGGT